AAGAGACTATCAAGAAATTAAGAAGTCTACCCAAGACTGGCATAACAGCTTGAAAGAAACTAAGGACAGACTATCTGAATTGGAGGGCAGACTTGAAACATGGGAGAATGAAATGAAAAACTTCTTAAAAATAACAAAGAAACACACAGCAATAATACAAAGACAAGAAGATGATAAGAGGAGCCATAACTTAAGGATTAAGAACATAAAAGAAGAAGTAGGGACACAAACAAGTGAACTACAAAAGCTACTCACAGAAATAATCCAGGAGAATTTTCCTAATTTAGCAAAAGGTAAAGATACTCAAATGTATGAGGCATACAGGACCCCAGCTACCTACAACCCTAACAGAGAAACACCCAGGCATATAATAATAAAAATTCCAGAAATTCAATACAAGAACAGAATATTAAAAGCTGTAAGAGACAAGAAACAGATCACTTACAAGGGGAGACCCATCAGAATTACAGAAGATTTCTCTTCACAAACCATCAAATCACGAAGAGCATGGGGAGAAATAATTCAAGCTTTGAAAGATAATAATCTACAGCCAAGATTGAGATATCCTGCACAACTGTCCCTGGAAATTGATGGAAAAACGTGGTGCTTCCAGGATAAAGAGGAACTGGGGGAATTTGCAACCACCAATTCAACCCTACAGAAAGTATTGCAGGATATTCTAAAAAAAGAAAAATACAAAGAACCCAGAAATAGGGGCGGGGAAGCCACAACGAATGGAGCAGAGAACAAAATGAAGAAGACAAACTGACAGCTACTGACAGAAAAAGAGCTCAACAGAAATGAGACAGAGAAGATTGGATGATAGGAACAGCTTTTTTTGGAGAAAATGACATCTTAATAGGTAATGCTGATTTAGTACCATCTTGTTTTGAAGTCTCATCTAGCTTTTGTTCTTCTGTCTCCAATGGTCTAAACAGGTTGTATCTTATTGGATTTTGTTATGTACGATAGTATAAGAAAAAACCTTTTAAAGACAAGGAGATTATACAGAGACCATTGTTCATTTTCTGTTAGTCGATTCTAAATACTCTATAATGCTGTCATTATCTTAAATGGATTTACATTGTTTTGATATACTTAATGCTACAGTATATGAAGTTGTACTCAAGGACTTCAGGGAGGGAGTCAATATGGTAACTATTTTTGGGTCAAGATTATCTAGTGGTGAAACACTATTCTGCTTAAATGGTTATGTTTTGATCTGCCCTGTTTCGCTGTTATGCCCTCTTTTTTCTCAATCTCCACTCCATTATTTACTTTTTTATTTTTATCCATTTAATTAAAGGGAAAAATATAGCAGGATATAATATAGTAACCCACTTTGACTTTCTATTATCTCGATTTGAAGCCCTGTGTTACTCTCACCATCTTGTTTTTGACTGAGGTTCCTCTATTCTGTTTTGCTGGATAGTATCAGGTTCGAAAGTTTAGGCATCAGCTGAGAAGATAATGAGATTCATTATAACGCCCATTCTCGTTGACTTTTATCTACTTTTGAAGACCTACAATATCTCCAATGTTTTGGTTTTGTCGGTTTTATTCTTTACGGTTTTGTTCAATTGTATTACAACTAATGATATAGGCAATTCTATTAGAAATAGCGGGAGGCATTATGGTAACCATTGTTGATCACCTTGTATTATGTTTTTATATTATCTATTATGTCCACCCTTTTGACTTGACCGATTCTGCTCTGTTACGTCACATTTGGTTTTACTCTCTTCCAAAAAAGCAACAAGAACCGTGGGAGCAATGAAACTCAAAATGTGTAATAGTCACTGTACAAAAGAGAGGAAAAGAAAGTGCTCTAAACTATATAACTGCATGTATATTTAAATGTATAAGATAGAAAATGATATCACAGAGTTTTATTGGATCATTGAACAGAACTGTTTGTAGTATCATTGTTGGAATGTCCACTCTACAAGCTTTAATTTTGTGACTGGAATAATTATTTCTAAGATGACAATATGTAATCCATTAACTAGTGATTTCCTACTGCGCATTTTTTTTATTCTGTAAATCTGTATAACTTGTACCCCTTCACTGTTTTTTTTTCTTTCTTTTCTTTTCTCCTTAAATAAAAATTAAAAAAAAAAAATCTCTGTGCCCTTCTCATGCACAGGATGAGGATATTTACAAAGTAAGGACTCTGGCTCCTGCTGAGTCTCTTAGTTAAACTTTAAAACTTCTCAAGTTGATACAATGTATCAACCATAACACTGTGATATAATAAATATGTGTTTGTTAAACCCCTAAGCTTTTGTGTAACTTGCTATGCAAGAATGAGTGACTAATATACTGATAATAAATACAATGAGACTTTCTATTTGAGGGCTCTCTACTTACACTATAGTAAATCACACAGGAGGAGTTTATGCTTTCTGGAATAAGTGCCCAAGGCTTGGGAAGGAAAGAGACCACTAAGCACAACATGGAAATGGCTGTCCTATCCCATCCAGTAGGTACCCACGTAAAAATGATCCAAGCTGGAGAAAGAGAGGCACTAATGTGATTCATGACTTAAAAGTATGTACTCGAGAGTAATCATATCATGTCAAATTACAATAATAAAGTGACCTACCTTATTTGGCTTATAAAATATGTAAAAGATTTTCAAATTTGGTTACTAATGTTTTGTGTTTTATTTTAAATCAATGTACTTTAAGGTAAGTTCTTAAAATATTTCCCTTTCTGTTCTGTGCAATTCTTTGAAAGCACAGTGACAGGATTCTTTTCATTTTGCAGTCATTCACACAAATGCTTTGACCTCTACTCCTTGGTGATTTAATACTGCCATGAATTAGAATGAGACACATGTCCCATATCTCTGGTATTGAAGAAGGAAGAGAGGGAGGAATACATGGTGATAGCAAAGACCAAACAATAGGCACTGGACACCTAGGTGCATCTGCTATGTATGGTGTCACATGTCCAGTGTGAGACTTATTTCCTACAGTGGGCTTTTAATTGTTTAGTTGGTTTTTCTGTAATTCATTTTATGTCATGCGCTATTGTAAAATTTAGAAGAAGAGCTTTTGTTTCTGTTTAGACTTTGTTTCCAATGTTTATATTTTAGATTAAGTTGACTTTTTAAGTTCCAAAATGGACTGTTTTATTCTTTACAGCATGGTTGTGTTAATCAGCTTTTCATTATCATGAAAAAATACTTGAGGAGGTCAATTTAAAGACAAAAAAATTATTTGACTTATGGTTTTAGGGGTTTCAGTCCATGGTATCTTGGCCTCTTGATTTCTGGGTCTTGGGGGAAGCGGAGCATTATGGAGAAGGGCATGGTAGAGAAAATGCTCACCTCTTGATAGTCAGAAACCACAAATGAGGTATATAATCAAAGGATAGTTGAGTCTTTTACGAACTTTGCTTGAGTATGAATGACTTCATTGTTTCTTTAGCGTGAAATCTTACACTAAGTTGACTATGAGCATTTCCTTCATAGTTTTTCTGATAATCTGTCACTTTATCACCTATGGAATGTAGAGAATTATTGGATTTGCATTCAATTCATTGAATTCCAAACTTTTGCATTCACTAAGGTTTTTTTTGAGTCAAACTCTTCATAAATCTAAAGCTAGTAACTGTTCCATCCATTCATGAATTTGCTCTCTTTATGTGACTTTTATGTTTTTTTGTTGCATATTACTTCAGCAAAAATTATTAGGCTCTTTTAGTTAATTTTGAAAATATGGCCAAATTGAGTTGCATTATGCTTTTATTCCTTTGGGACATCCTTTTGCTGTGTTTGTTTTATTTGGTTTAAAGAATAAGAAAACTTGCCTAAGGATCTTAATCAAATTGTCTAATTTATATTTGAGATTTCTTTTTTGAAATTGAGATAGTGGATTATTATTAGGATGGAAGTATTATATTCTACTTGAGTACTATTTGTTGGTGAATCTGGGCTCTGTTCCCAGAAATGCTAAATTACATTGGTTAGAAATTTCATCCATCTTTTGCTGCTTCCATTTCTCACTTTTTCCCTTAATTCTTTGTTGGGATTTTGCCAGAGCTGACCAGAAAATGTCTCATGTACTTTAAGCTTTCAGAAAAGAGAATTGATAAAATGCCTCAGTAATCAAAATAAATATATCCAATTTGTGATTGTCTACATTGTGATTTTTCTCTTAGAAATCTTTAATCCACAAGAGTGTCCTTCCATGGCTACTTGGCACTGATCCATCTGGGCAAATTTACCTTGTTTCTGGCCAACATGCATGTGTGAAATGTGGAATGATTTCAGTTAACCTATGCCTAACTTTGTGATAAAATGCACTTGCTTTAAAATACAATGTAACATTTCCTGGCCAACAATTGCATGTAAAGGACATGTTTCTGGTTTCTGATAATCTGTTCCACTTCTTCCTTATATAATCATGCATAGTTTGTGTTTTAAGGATCTATCTTTTTGGGTTAAATCTGTGCTAATCTTGATATCAATATCAATGCATTGTCCTTTGATTATTACTCTTAAAGGAATTGTAATAGGAAATGTATGTATCATTCCTATCCTGAATCTGTCATTTTAGTGATTAGATTTAACCTTTAGCAGATACTTTAGATGTATGGGAAAGTGTTAATATTTATTAGTACCTGTATAAAACTATCATGCATCAGTTTCAGAATGAGTTGCCTTTTTTTTTTTTTTTTTTGGTTTTAAACAGAGATCTTTCAATTCATTCAGTTAGCCAGTGAATGACAGATTTACAACTTCTCTCTGACTTTGACTGAGATGTATTTATGAGATTTAGCACTTGTGGAACAAATGAAAGCTTTAGCATTCAACACAGAGCCCATTGAAATTTCTGGCACATGGTGTTTGGAGTGGGCCAGTGGGAGTATTAAAGTAAGAGTCCCTGTGCGTTCCCACTGCTGGGTCATGAACATTACTAAGATGGGCCAACATCTTTTCACAGGTGGCTTATGACAATTTATAGTCTTTGTTTTGTCTTTCTCCCCCACAGCTGTTGTGAACTTGGACAATTCTGTGGTTGACCTGGAGACCCTTCAAGCTCTCTATGAGAATGTGAGTAATAGAAGGAATTTTATGTGTGAGTATAAAATAATACACAATACATGTCTATATGCACCTGTAGGTTGGTTGTTTTAATATTCTCCAAGGAAATTTGATCTGGGTAGATTGAATTTACATAAGGAGGGGTTTGTAACAACACTTTCTAGGAAAACATTGAACAAATGTTTATGCTCTTGGTTTTAGCAATTGTGATTCAAAATATGTTGTTTATGAAGTCACTCATGTTCCCTCTTAAAATAATTGTACTTATGTGGGAGCTACCTTGGGCCAAGCATGGCTCTGTACACTTTATATATATACACACACACACACACACACACACACACACACACACACACACACACACGTGTGTGCAAATTTTTAAATGTTTAATTCACAAAAATTGGATGCATTCAAGATATGCAACCTGCTGATTTGATCTACATAGATATATATGATCTACATAATCAAATGAATATATCCATTGCTACTCATTCTGCACATTAAGTCTCCAGACCTTATTCACCTTATAACTAAAAATTTGAAAGTTTGTACCTTTTGATCAACGTCTTCCTACTTCCCTGACTTCTCACTCTTAGACAACTGCCATCGTATTGCTGCTTCTGAGTTCAGTCTCTTATGACTTCTTATCTTTTTGAGTCTGGCCTATTGCACTTAACATAATGTTTTATAACTTCACACATGTTTGTTCAATTGGTGAAATTTCCTTCTTTCTTATGGCTGGATAATACTTTGTGGTATGTATATGTACCACAGTTTCTTTAACATTCATTTATCAGTGGGCATTTATATCATTTCAATGTCTTGGCTTTTTTTTTTATCATGATTCAAGGAATATCATGTTGCAAGTATGTCTTTTACATAATGTGCCTGCCTTGGTACCTACACACAGAAGTATATTGGTGGACCACATGGAAATTGTACTTTTAACTTTCTTGAGTAACCTCCACTCTGTTTTCCATAATGTTTGAACCAGTTTATATTCCCATCAGGAGCATACACGGTTGTCTTTCCTCCACATATCTGCCACCACTTATCTTATTTAAAATAGCCATCCTAAGAGGTGTGAAGCTAATATCACTGTGCCTTTGATTTGCATTTTTTGGATGAACTAGTATATATAGGAAAGAGTCTCAATGTGGTGTTGTTTTGTCTCTAAGATGTACCTTGGAGTTCTTTTATTTTTACTTTTGCTTATGATCTGCCTGGTATATACGCTTGTATACTATCTGCAACATAATCTTAGTTCTTGGCTTTTCTGTCTTAAGTCAAAGAATTTCTGGCCCTGGAAGGTGCGTGTGATGGGCAGGATGAAGGCTCTCTTCTTTAACTACTCCTTTAATAATTGTGTGTGTGACCTGTCTGTCTACTCTTGAATTAGATCCTCTAAAACGTATGCATTTTTGGTCTCCCTTGTGAACTTGAGATCTTTGTGAGCGAAGGTATTTCTCATAGTGCATCATACAGAATCTGTTGAACAGAGAGTTGTTACTCAGATAGCTCATTGAGCATGAGCATTTAATGAGTCCAAGTCATGAACAAGGGCTGAGAAGGAAGGTTTGAGTTCCCATTAAATGGTAGAAAAACCTGGAAAAATTAGTCATATATTTAGTTCTCATTATATGGTAGAAAAATCTGGAAAAATTAGTCATGTATTTAATATATTAGTATCCAAGTGCAATGAATATTAAAAATATAACTATTTAAGAGGGTTTCCATTTCTCTTGACTCTTCATACTAACCCTCTGCCAACCAGGAAGGTGGTATTTGTCAGCCTGCTGTTTGCTACTACAAAATATCAGATACCTGCAACTTAAAGGTTTAATCTGGCTCACATTTTCAAGTCGATTATTGGTGCTTCCAAGGCAGAAACAGCATGGTATAGCAAAACTGCTTACTGCTGGTGGTCAGAAGCAGGGAAGGGAAATAGTACAAGAAAGGAATGAACAATGACCAATTGTAGTACCCAAGGTCACACGTGTGTCAGCCACCCAGGCACATCCAGAAGTATGCATTACTAATGCCCTGAATGGCTCTTAGGCCAATCAAGTTAACCATCTAGCTTGACTGTCACAAAGGCCATATGGGAGAAGTGAGGAGATACTAGAAGGGGCTTTCTCCACCAAGTCATAGTGAGCTAAGGTGTTGGGATATATTTATCTTTCACATATATTATGTGTGCAGTATATGTGCTTGTGATTCTATAATGTGTGTGTACACATGACACACATATATGTAAATACAGTCTTATTTAGACCTAACTTACTAATGTATAGAAATATACACAGAAACAAGAGTATTTCATGTAATTATGCCCAATAGCTTAATATTTTGATAGTTTTTAGTCTTTCAAAGGTAAGTTAATTTCACCAAGAAAACTCTGATTCAGGAAAAACTATGTAGCTACTCAGAATTTATCTTTTTAAAAATTATTTGTGGGACTGGGGATTTAGCTCAGCGGCATAAGTGCCTGCCTTGTAAGTATGTGGTCATGAGTTCGATCCCTGGTACTGATGAAAAAGAAAAAGACAAAAAAAATTATTTGTAATATTTTAAAAATTTAAATATTATAAATTATATGTATTTATGTGATAGAAAGTCATGTTATGATTAATGAATCAATTGTAATGATTGACAATTAGAGAATGCAATAGAGTAATTGATTTAAACAAATTCATATATTCACCATCTCTTATCGTTTGTGTGAAGAGCATTGGAATCTTGTTTCTTAACAATTTTGAAATATACAGCATATTTACTATATTTGCTACAGTGTATAATATGTCTTTTTAAAGGGCTTATTTCTATTTAACTGGGGCTTTGTATCCTCTGATCATCATTTCCCCATCGCCGCCAGCCCGTTTCTGGTAATCACCATTCTACATTATACTTTTTTTGAACTTGAATGTGAAAACTTGACATATTTGTCTTTCCGTGCCTGGTTTATTTCACCTAGCATAATACTTTCCAGTTGCATCAATGTTTTTACAAATGATAAATTTTCTTTGGCTTTCAAGACTGAATAGTGTTCATTGTGTATATACCTCGTTATGGATACTGATGTTGATTCTGTTAACTTGGTTATTGTAAACAGTGCTGCAGGGAACATGAGAGTACAGGTATTTCTTCCATGCACCTATTTCCTATCTTTTTCTGTAAATATTCAGATGTGGATTCCTGGGTTATTTTTAGCTTTTGGAGGACCATCCATACAATTTTCCATAGTGTCTGTACTAATTTATATTTCCACAGATGATATAGAGAGTCTTCCCTTTCTCCACATACTCACCAACATGTATTGTTTTTTCTCTTCTTATTCATAGCCATGCTGGCTGGTGCAAGATTATAGCATGTGATTTTGATTTGCATTTCTCTGACGATTAGTGATGTTAAACAGTTTTTATGTCTTTTGGCTATTTGTATGTCTTGAGAACAGTTCCTTTCCCAGTTTTTAATCGGCTTTTTATTTTTTCATTTAAATCCCCTATGTTTTGACTGTTGACCCCCTTAACAAATGTATCCCCTTCCATATTTTATGTATTCGATGTCAGAAATTTACATCACTTTGTAATATACATCCATCCCTTTTGTTAGCTATTTTGTTATTATAGTTTTATTTTTTAATCCTCATATTTGGATAAAATTGCTTCATGTACCATCATTACAGCCTTAGAATGTTCTGGCTATGGCTCTGCATTAATTACACTACTGAATTTTGTGCTCATGTATGATTGAGTTATTAATTAGTGCCTTTTATTTCAAGTTACAAAATTCCTTGGGACAGTTCCTGTTAGGCAGGTGTAATAGTGAACTTCTTTACCTTTTGCTTGTTAAAGTTGTATTTTTTCCTTATTGACTGCTCAGTGAATTACTGGTTGCTGTACTCAGATACTTCTATATGTATAGGTTTCTTGTCTGTTGCTGCTGTAAGAAGTATTTCATTGGTTTTGATTTCTGATAGATTATTTTGTGTGTAGGGGAACTTTTCTTGAAGTTGTTTGGAGAGCTTTGCATTTTTACACATGCATGTTGGCATCTTTCTACAAATTAGGTAATATTTTCAGTCTTTATTTTTTAAATGTGGTTTCTAGCCTTTATTCTTTTGCCTCCTAAATTGTTACCATGCCCTGCTTAAGTGTCCTGATGGAATCCCATAACCCTGGAGGCTTCCTTCATCCTTTCTCTTTTTCCCCTTTCATTGAATAATTACAAATGCTTTTGTCACTGATTCCTTACCTTGAACAAACCCACTGTTGTAGCTTCCTGTTGTGTTTTATGGTTCAGTTCTTATGTTCTTTGTCTCTAGAATTTCCTTTTTAAATTACTATTTCTTTGTCAAACATATTTTTCTTGTTTATACATTGTTTTTCAAATCTCATTTAATTTTTAAAAAAATTTTTAATCTATATATTTAAATTTATCATACTGGGAATCAAACTCAGGTCCTCATACTTGCCAGGCAGGCACTGTGCTGCAGAGCTATATCCTGGGCTGCATATATTTTATAGTTCACTGAATTTTAAGAGAAGTATACCAAATTCTCTGCCATTTCATGATCCTAACTTTGAGTAGGGTCCATTGTTAGAACTTCATTAGTTTCTTTCAGAGGTATCATGTTTTCCTAGGTCTTTGCATCATTGCACTGGTGTTTGTGCCTTTGAGGAGGCAGCTGGCTGCCTTTTATAGCTTTTACCAGGCTCTTCTTTGATAGGGCTAGACCTTCATTGTTTAATCTAGCTTGTGATTCTGGGCGGTAAAACTGGCAGTGACTGCAGGTGAGTGGGGGTTGTTTTCAGGTTTCTAACTCCCTGTGTTGCTTCCTTTGCTCTGAGTTCAAGTTGGGCAGCTGTCTGCTCTCTCCACCCAGGCTGAGCTGTGGGATGTCCATTGCCATCAGTTTGGATCAGGCCAGAGGCATACTCTGGCTAGATCACATGAGTTTTTGAGTTTAGCAGTTGGACAATCTTCTGTGAGTGGCCCTGATGTCAAAT